AGATTAAGAGTTCTTTTATTGGTTTGTGGTCCTTACTGGTTGGACCATCCTTACGTGAAGTACTATCGTTGCAACCCAAGGCTTGGTGGGTTGATTATTACCTATCCATTAGTATTAATTGGTATTATCGATTGGTTGTGTTAATCTAGTGGGATGAGTGTATCTTCTCGTGACATTGAGAACATTGACATGGAGGCCCAGAACGGCTCCCAACAAAAGTATTCCGAAAAATCCGAGGAAGCCGCATGGCGCATGCCATGCGCCGCAAGGGCGTGCGTACCCTCCGCTTATGTCTGCGCAAACTTCGCTTACCCCTTGCAGGCCCCGTTTGTCCGCCACGTGATCATCAGATAATCACGCAGTCACGGTATGTCGAATCAAAGTGGAGTCTTACAGGCGTTCACTTCGTGTCACTTCGGGAGAACCGCCAGATACTCTTTGTACATCAGTAACCAGGGTAATCAAGAGGGGGATTGGTGGATTACAGTAAGTGTATCAACCGATATGCGCGGACGCTGGAGCGGTAGTAGGGCCTCATAAAGTTGACCTTCCAGAGTCGCCGAAAGCGACAGAGACAGCCGTGTATGGGAGTGGAGCAATCTCGTTGCTGGATCGAAATGCTGAGATGATACTCAGCTTGCACGCTTGCACATTAACGCACAATGCGTGAGCCCTATGTTGGTCGAGGCTAACGGAAATATCTTGTGAAGTGAGCTATAAGTCTTCTTGCTCTGTGTTTCGTCATTCCAAAACCTTATTGTCGGTGCTTCTTACACTACTGATGGTACATGAGAAGCAGTATCTCTGCATCCTCTGTTTGTGCGCAATTCCAGCAGCTATGATAGAATCGATTGGGTTGGAGCGCACACAGTTGTCTGCATTATTGGTATTAGTCATTTTGATCTCGCTTGATGTAGTGTAACGGTACATCACGAGCATCAGTGCGTCTTTCACTCACTTCTATGACACCCCCTCTTGCGCCTACTAGTCAAAAAGCAACTCGAGCATCTGCACGTACCCGCAGTCAGCCCCCCCGTACTCACGCTGTTTCTTCCTCGAACCGTTCCGACATCACTGACGGCGAGATACAGCATAGTGATCCGATATATTAAGGGAGTCAATTTTGCAAGTAAGGGCACAATTTCATGATTAACGGAAACAATTCCGCTGGTGAGAACATCAGTAACTGATGATCAGCTCCACTCGTCTAGGGAAGTTCAATAACTCTATAAGGCTGATAGTCGCGGCTCGAATATGAGACTCTAAATAAATGAACTAGCTAGCGAAAGGGGTCATGGCAGAGCATCTCATCGAAAGTCCCTCGATGAGGGAGTAGACACACTCCTCAAAGGCTGAGTTCGATACTATTATATGGCTACAACGATCAGTGATAAGCGAGTGATTGCGGGACTCGATTACAAACGGACTACAGACCATCTTATGTGGATGGTAGGTCATGGTGTATAACTTTCCTAGTCATTGCAGGATAGACTCACAATCGCGCTGATTCCGTCACAGATATTGACACTTTTCCACTGCGTGCATTAATCTCGCACGCAGTAGCGTAATTTTCCACGTAGACTACGTCCGAAGCTCGGCATCTTCAGGCAACGAAAGAACTGTACAAGAGAGGCGAATACATATGTGCTGTGAGCGATACAGGCAATCTGTATACAGGAAAAGCGATTAACCCCCTACAACAAGTCCACGAGGGTAGGGACGGATCCATTGAAAAAAATGAAGTCCAACCGCAGTGAAAGCCGGACGGAATAGAATTTCTTGATCACCACCATACTCGTGGTGTTTGGCTAACCGAAGAGTTCTCTTGCAACTTAGGTCGAGAACTCGGAAAGATATTATTTTCGCTCTTCTCTGTGGAAACGAGCGAGGTCTATAGTCTGGAATTCTCCTACGCGGAGTTTGACCGTTTATTCCGCTTCAATGCTGAGCTCATGAATCCTAACAAGAAGAGTGAAAGGTGCCGCGCTCAGTCATCCAACACACCGTGGAACTGGATACTCTGCAGATTCTACTGGATCCTCAGCCGGCTGGACTTAGTGTCTGACGGAAAGGGGGGATTACGACTCGCCTTACAATCAGCCGAAACGAGCGAACCGCCGAGGCTTGATGCCTCCAACGATAATAAGGTGAGCCCCTCAGTTATTGAAAGACGATGTCCTCTCATTAGGATAAGATTCCAATAGCAAAGCTGGATTATCTGGGAAGGGCGAAGCTGAGAATGTTTTTGGTGGAACTAGATAAGAAGAGAGCGGCGTCCATAGAAAAGAGGGAGGAGGAAAGAAAACAAAAAGTTTCAGCCAAAGTGACTCGATTACCGTCGCTTGCACCCGGACATGTGTGCCACAGATCGTCAGCGAGAAGAATGTTGCTGAGGGGACGGCTAGAGCCCGGAAAACCATAGTGGCAGAAGAAACAGACGAGAAGCGGGCCCAGCAGCTACGGTATCTACCACGGCTTTTATCGATCCAGTCAGCAAGCAGGGAACGATACGAAGAAATTCAACGAGAACAAGATCGTAAAGACAAAGACGAGAAAAGGAGAGCTAACATAGCCTCGCTGGAGGCACGGAGGGAAGCTAAAGCGAAGAACAATCTGACTGTAAGACTTACAAACACTTCAGGAAGACGTCTGCTGCACTGCTCAGAGCAGTCTGCCATGTGTGCCCGTATGATCTACTGCACTGCGTCGCTACTGGCAATCGTGATATTTTCCCTCGGTTGAGGACTGTATTGACTCGTTATGCACTGTGGATGTTGTGACACATTTGACGTGGCAACGGCTCGCCTCGCAGTTAGGGAGAGTTGGATATTGTTCCGTTAGGCTCTACTCGAGCGGCAAAAGAGAGCGGAGGAGAAAAATAAGAAGCAATTGGAAGATATCAAACTACAGGCAAGGAAGAGGATTGAGAAGGAACGACAAGATTGGCGGCAGTATGAGGAGCATATGCGACGAATTGAGGACCGACGACAAAGGGTAGAGTCACCACGGTATGCCTTCCTAGTTTGATGGAAGATAGCCTATCTTCCACCAATCTTTGGCTTTGCCCAGCTCAGGATTTTTTCTCTGAGAGACAAGCGGTAGAGTCACAACCCAACGTAGAGGCATCCATATTTGGTGCCGAGTAAAATCTAGCCTCGTCGAAAACTTGCGAGACTCAACTTCATCGAATTGAGTCCCCTAATAATAGAAAAGTCTCTAAACCATGCAATGGTCAACCCCATTGAATCGGCAGTCTTTATCCGAGCAAGCGGCTTTCACAGCTGAATCGGGAAAGTCATCCCCAAATTAATTATCAATTAGGCATGGCGGGACCGAGAGCAACGTTCACGTGATAAAGTTGCAGCACTGAACTTAGAGCGGCAACGAAGTCTTGAGAAGCGTGCCATCCAAGCGAAACTCTCAAGAGAACGAAAACTAGAAGCGGTGGCTCGAATGAACGAGGACAGGAAGAGGTATTTGTCTCGCAATGGTGAACGTGGTAGTCATAGAAAGCTATATTTTAGAGTTTATAGATACCACATGGATGGCAAAGAGCGGCTACACAGGTGACTGTTTTCGTGAGCATTGTTTTCGTATGAACCATGCTAGGTCGGTGGAGGACAGGCACAAGGCCGCCGGTGCAAGAGTCGCAGATTCTGATTTTCCACATGGTCACTGAGTCGGAGGCACAATGCCACTAGCACTAAACGGTGCCTCTGAACCTGTTGTCGACACAATGTTGAGTCGAAGTTAACTTAATGTTCGCTATGGAGCTGTTATTGTACAGAATCTGTACTACAGATCTGAAGCTTCAATTCAATCCTCACGATGCGTGAGAAAGTTTCTCACGCATCATGAGAAACAACTGTTCTGTTTCTCAGAGGAACAACACATGCGAGTTAACTCCCCAACAGCATCC